GATGGCTGGCGGATTTAAAGAACTTCTACAAGTCAGAAGACCCCTACAGCAAAGTTATTTGCTATGTAATTGTTATGTTATGAAGGACTAAGCTACAAAGAAGACATGAAACTGCTGATGAACTTTAAGACTTCAACTTCTAATTATAGATGATGAGCATAAAATTATGATGGCTGGCGGTTTTAAAGAACTTCTACAAGTCAGAGGACCCCTACAGCAAAGATATTTGCTATGTAATTGTTATGCTATGAAGGACTAAGCTACAAAGAAGACATGAAACTGCTGATGAACTTTAAGACTTCAACTTCTAATTAGAGAAGAAGGAATGAATAAAAAAACCTTAAGAGTAAAGCATTATCAATAAAAATTAATTATATAGAAAAAATTAAAATATTTGGAAGCATGTTAGGGAATGATAGAATCTATAAATTATTGGATTATGATACAGTAAAATGGATTTATAAGAATTATCTCTTCAAAAAATACCTCAAAATCAGAAAACTATAACTTACCTCATAAAAGTATTGACAACATTAATTTCCAAGTTAAAGAAAGAATTCCCCGTGTTCCACTTCTCTGTTTAACTCTCATTTTTTATTACTGTAAGACTTTAGCTACCCTATATTCTATTATAACACAATACATTTTTATGAATACCAGACAAAGTATCAGGAGCCAGTTATGCAAAACCATACGATAACAGCATTCATTCTCCTGGGGCTAACAGATGATCCACAAATGCAGAGTCTGCTTTTAGTTTTTCTGTTCTTTACCTATTTTTTAAGTGTAACTGGGAACTTGGCAATTATTTCACTTACATTAGTGGATCCTCATCTTAAAACACCAATGTACTTTTTCCTTCAAAATTTTTCTTTCTTAGAAATCTTATTCACATCAGCTTGCATTCCTAGATACCTGTATAACCTATCAACAGGCGACAGGACTATTACCTACTCTGCTTGTGCCACACAGGCATTTTTCACTGATCTTTTTGGAGTAACTGAATTTTTTCTCCTGGCCACCATGTCCTATGACCGCTATGTTGCCATCTGTGAACCTCTGCGTTACACCATCATCATGAGCAGCAAAATCTGCAGCCGACTCATTCTGTGTTGTTGGATTGCTGGCTTATTAATCATACTCCCACCATTTAGCGTGAGCCAGACACTGGAATTCTGTGATTCTAACGTCATTGATAGCTTTCTTTGTGATGTGTCTCCCTTCCTGAAGATTTCATGCTCAGACACATGGGTCATTGAACAGATGGTTATAGTTTGCGCAGTGTTGACCTTCATCACCACCCTTCTTTGTGTAGTTCTCTCCTACATATATATAATCAAGACTATCATAAGATTTCCCTCTGCCCAACAAAGGAAAAAAGCTTTTTCTACTTGCTCTTCACACATGATTGTGGTTTCTCTCACCTATGGCAGCTGTATCTTCATCTATGTCAAACCTTCAGCAAAGGACTCAGTGGCTATTAATAAGGGTGTGATAGTGCTGACTACTTCCATTGCTCCTATGCTGAACCCCTTCATCTACACCTTGAGAAACAAGCAAGTGAAACAAGCTTTAAACTACTCAGTCAAAAAAATTGCCTTATCTTACAAGACATAAAAGAGTGATAAAGTTGATTATCTTATTTTTCATATGAGATTGGCTCTCCAAATTAAGTTGCCAAAATAAATTCTTTGGTCAAATACAAAGTTCATTCAGATAAATTTTCTCATAATGTTCTTTGCATCCAAAACTGCTATTAGGAAGATCACTTTCTTTTTTGTAGACACATTTCTTTTCTGATGTTATGTTAATAGCTTGTTATAAGGAATAAAACTATCTCAGTTGTTCCAGCCTTACAAACACTGCAGGCTGAATAAAAACTTTAAAAACAAAATGTGGCGTATGAAAAACATCATATAGTCTCCTTAGTATGAGAACCTGAAAAAGAAAAATGGAATCTGAAGGGTACAATACATACTGGGAAAACGGAATGAACTTATTCAGAAGAAAAGAGTTACTGAGCTGAGAAGATGGACAGGAGAGGGAGGTGGGAAAAGAGATTTATCTATGTATATAAGCAGGATTGTTTAGACAACCGTACTGTATATTTCTGCTGGTCTACAGAAAGAGGCAGTTAATACTTCAATTTCTTTCATCTCCTTTTTTCAATTGTTCATACTTTTCTTAATTTCTTTCTTTTCTTCTTTCTCTTCCAA